AGGGGTAAGAGAGGGAGAAGAAGGAGGAGAGGAATTTTGGGGATGTATGTGAAATTTACAGTATGATTATGAATTTCAAGAATGTATATGGTTAGATTGTTCAAATTCGTTACTTTTGTGGATCAATTTTTGTTTATATATGTGATTTTCGTGTGTATTGTTTGATTCATGGTTGAATTTTATGAATATTGTTGTAATTCAGTATATATGCCGCAAATTTTATATTTATGGTTGGATTTTCACATATATTGTTGTGAATGAGGTGGAAATTTTATGTATATTGTTATGAATGAAGCGAAAATTTCATGTATATTGTTGTGAAATTTTTTTCATGTATATAAAAAACATGCATACATTCTGTGCATGTTTTTTTAAAACCTACAACTCCACGAGACTTCAAGTCTCGTGGAGTTGCAGACTGAATTCCAGAGAGCGATTTTAGCCTGAAACTTCACGGGATTTGAAGTCGTGTAAAAGTTTGGGCCTCCTAATCAAGTTGGTTATGAGAGGCTTAAACTTCACGGGTTTTTAAGTCCCATGACTTTTTCGCGCCGGGATCTCCTGCAACGACTGAGATCGACGACTTAGAAGGGAAAATTTTATTTATTTAAAAAAATTATTATTTGGAAAACCCTAAACCAAGCTCTGATACCATGTTAAAGTAAGAGAGAGAGAGGGTCTTGGGTAAATTTCCCTTGAATTGAATATTGATCATGAGTGTGTACATATATATGTACAAGTAGAGAAGGGTGAGGTTTGTCTTCATAACCAATGTGAGACTAAACCCACTACTAACACATCAACATTCCATAAACTTTCCCTAGCTAACCAACTGGGCAGCTCCAGAGGGTGAAATGGATGACCGATGTTAACTAAGAAATTTAACTAGGAACTGGGCAGCTCCAGACGGTGAAATGGGTAATTGATGTTAACTAAGAAATTTAACTAGGGTATTGAAATCAGATGATTTATATTAATACTCGCTTTAAACTTGCATATGAGTTCAACTAAGAAGTTCACGACTGCATACGAGAAGATGCATTATTTAGATGAATCCAAGCATGCATACGTACAACATTTAACAACAAGCGTATAATACTAAAACCTCAATCTCCCCCTAAAGCAACGGGGTCACCTCAAAGCTACGGAAAACTAATGTGGACTCAAACACACGGTCTTCACAAACTCCTCGTCCTTCAACAAAGCGCTCATGGTCTCCTTCGCCAAATGCACGTCCACCTCCAAACTCCCCTCCTCCGCCCCTCGATAAACCCCCACGGTCCCCTCCGCCACGTTCCACCTCCCGGTCCTCATCGCCACCGGACGTCCCCATCCAAAATCACACCCAAACACATCAAACCTCGGCGACCCTCCAGTGTACATCATCATCCCGTTATCATAATCCAAGTAACAAATCTTCGGATTCTCTCCCCAATTCTCAACCTCCTTGTACACCTCCTCCTCAGAAAAAGCCGCTATCTGTTTGTTCAGTAGCAACGCTGCGGCCCCTAGTCCTTTGTTTGTTAGCTCTTCGGCCGTGGTGAATCGCCCGGCCGCGCCGCACGCGTTGCCTGTGTAAGACCGGGGCACCGGATGGAGGCTCAGCAGCTTATTTGAGCGGTATCCCACCAGTATTACGTGTACGGCTGGTGTTTGCGGGTGGGGTTTTCTCGCGCGTGTGATTGACCTCCACAAGTGCGCTGACACCGCTTGCAGGGACGAGATCTTGGCATCATCGGCGCCGGCGGCGGCGATCTCTTCGTTGGCCTCGGCCTTGAGTTTCTTGACGGTGTCGGGTGAGAGGTGGAAGAAGCAGTGGGATCGAGCGGTGGGATCGACGGACACCCGCTTGATGAATTCCGCGGGGCCTTTGAACGGCATGCAGATCGGAGGCGGTCACGAGCCGAGGAACCAGCGGTCCGAACGACGGCCTACGACTAGCAATCGCCCCCGAGCGTCGATTCACGGCCTGGCCGCGTAGAAGCTTGCGACCAGCTGCTGATTGCAAGTTCCCAGAGGGCCGAACCACTCGCCGGCCGACGTCGGCTTCGAAGGAGACGCGCGACGAAGCATCCCGCCTCAGCGAGCTCGGTGACCTGACGCGCCCAGCAGATCGGCAGCGAGTTGGCCGGCGTAGCGCACGGCCCTCGCGACGACTAGCGGAAACGCGGACCGGCGAAACGACAAATGCGGGGACTTGGAAACCCGGAAATGCGATGTCAAGATGTGGATAGATTGCTCGGAGCGGAGGCCAGCGACGAACTTCCGCCGGCTCGCAGGCCTGTCGCACAGGCGATGGAACTAACGCAGAGACTGTCGTGGATGGAGACGGAGGCGCACGGCTTTCGTGGTGGTTCGTGAGTCGGGTAGTTCGGAAAGGCGCCCGCCAACACAAGGCGCTAGAAGTAGGCTGCAGAGCCCGTGCGAAGGGCTAGGCCCGGAGGCTGAGGTAAGATGACTTTCGCTCTACAGGAGGTTAACACAAGTGGCGGGGGGTTTTGGGAGGAGGAGGCCGTGCTGCGCGTAGGTGGCGGAGATAAATCTGAGATCCCAAGAGTTGAGATGGATGACTTTGTCGGTGGTGATTGGCGGTGACGGGAGAACCAATTGCCTTGAGAGGATGCGAATTTTTTGGGATTCTTCCAGATTATGCGCCATCACGAAGAATTTCGAATGTCTGCTGATGTTTAATATATTATTATTTATACTAGAGTCCGGCACACCCTCAACCACATTCTCAATCACATTCTCACACTTTCTATAATGCTAATGAGTCATGCATGATATTTTTAAAAAAATATCATGCATGACCTGATGACCCACTAGCACTATAAAGAATGTGAGGGTATGGTTAAGAATGTGATTGAGGGTGTGCCCCTAGCATTATTTTTTATACTAATTTTTATTAGTCACATGGTCACGTTGTTGTATTTAATATTACTAGTATGGAGCACGTGGACATACTTATTTTAAAGAAACTCGAGCTGCAGTCGCACAAAGCAACCACAAATCTCACTCGCCCTCCTATTGGGCTGGGCCACTTGGTCTGTGCTTTCGCCCTCCTATTGGGCCGGAAAACTCTTTGTTTTCATTTGCACGTGGCTCCGGTTACAAAAGATAGTAATCTATGGATTTTATATGCTTTGCTGATTTTAAGGGTTTATTTTAGAAAACCTCCCAACACTTTGGGCATGTTGAGCTAAACCCCCTGAACTTTTTAATACGGCTCAACCCCCAGAACTTTAGGCATTGTTACAAATAAACGGCACCTAAACTTTTTAATTATGTCACATAACTCCCTTTAACTTTTTAGTTACGCCAGTGAACTTTAGGCGCCATTGCACACAATTCTCTTATTTTTTAATTCTGCTAATACATTAATGGTATACAAAATTTAGAGGGTTATATGCAACACTAAATTTAAGGGGTTTAAGAAGGTTTAGTGCAATACCCTTAAAGCTTATGGGGTTGGATGCGGTTCTAAAATTAGCAAAGGTTATAAATCCAATGGATGTTGCCTGCAGGTTGCGATTTACTATTTGTCCTTTATAACTCGTACCCACGTGCAAGTGAAAGCAAGAGCTAGGCGGCCCAATCAGAAGGAGAGTGAGATTCGACAATCACTTTAAGCAACCAACCCCATAAGCTTCACGCGGACTTGCCAGAGAGCGAACGCACTTTGGAATGTGGTCTGCAGCTTCACTAGATTTTGAAATCCCGTGAAGTTTAAGTTTTACGGGATTTTAAACCCCGTGAAGTTTTTAATGTTTTTTCGTCATTTTCGACCCAATTTCAGTCAGGTCGTTGAAATTGAGTCGAAAATGACAATTATTTTCAAAATGAGTCATTTTTTAAAAATAAGTTTCTAAATGAGTCTATTTTAAAAATTTGTCCACATGGTATTTAAGCAGAAATAACCCATTTACTTCTCGTGAAGGTAATAATATTTGCCTAAGGGTGTGTTTGGATTTCAATGGGGTTAAGGGAAGTTAAGGGAAACTAGGTGAGAGAAGGGAATGAAAAGGAGTTCCCTTCCCATTGGTTACACCCTAATTTAGGGTAACAAATTTTATAATATTAAGAGGTGAACAAAGGGGAACTAAGGGCTTGTTTGGATTGAGGGGAATAAGGGTGAAGAGAAGTTAGGGAAACCATTCACCTCCATTCACCTTGTTTGGGAACATTTAGGAGGTGAAGTTATTCACCTTGTTTGGGAACCATTCACCCCTTAAACTGTCATCTGCACCAACCATGTATTGGGGGGTCATCTTCTTCCTCCTCATCTTCATCCTCATTCATCTCTAATCCATTGAGCATATTAAAGTATTTATCATTTCCATGATGTCTTGCAATAAATATATGAAGAACACAACAAGCTATGACGATTTTGACTTGAGTTTTATAAGGAAATGGAGCTGGAACTTTCAAAATTTTGAATCTTTGCTTTAAAATTCTCCATGCCTTTTCCACTGCATTACGTAGTTGTGCATGTCTATGATTAAATTTGTCTTTAGTATCTCGATAGGCTCTGGTGGTCCCATTTGTAAAATCCCCAAGATGATAGCGTGATCCACGATATGGGGCGATAAATTTTGAAGTATTAGCATATCCCGAGTCAACTAAGTAAAAGCGACCTACATATTTAAAATTATCTGACTTTAGTACTAACTGATTCCAAAAGAAAACTAAAAAAAATTAAAATTAAAATTTACTTTCAGGAACATTAAATTTACCATCTTCCAGTGTTGCACGAAGTACTGACATATCAGATGCTGATCCCTCCCAGCCAGCAGCAACATAAAGAAAAGTATGATCAAAGGAGCATGCTGCCATTACATTTTGAGATATGAAATTCTTTCGATTACGATACCTGTTGTGTTTCTTTTTCTTCACAATTGTAGGAATATGAGATCCATCAATTGCTCCCAATGCTTTCTGCAAATATAAAACAAATATAAAGTTCTAATATACAGATACATGGACACATACACATTTAAAAAGATTTCATAAAATATATGCTGAGAGCTCTACCTTGAAGTATGGAAAGAAATTGGGATTCTCTCGAATCTTAGGATGAACGTCTACGTCAGCCGTAGGAAGTTGGATATAATCTTGTTTCAAAGATAATATAGCATTAAGCACATTATTATAATGTCTGCTAATAGTCTCTCCTGAATGTTGAAATATCTCAGCTAATACTCGATTTGAAATGATGGTCTAGTTCGACATGGTCGAGGAACCTGCTTCATCACATTTGATTGATGAATGATGCTCGTAATCATCTCGTTCCACATGTACTCATCCTCATCGTCATCATTCAAAATCAATGCCTCTATTAGATCATCTTCGTCATCAAGTGCTTCAATATCATCAACACTAAGATCGCTTGCAAAATCTTCAAATGAATTCATCTTCAACCAAATTAAAAACGAAAAAATTAGATAACTTGTTGCAAAGAATGGATTGTAACTAGTTTAGTAAATGAGGATGCACAAAGAAAGGTAGAATTAATCAGATAATTTTGGTCGACTTGCTACCAGGGTGGAATTATGCCACTTCATCATGAAATTTAGGTCTTGGATTGACATTCATAAACAACATCCATATATAAGACAAAGAACTTAGATTGAGCTACATGAGGTCTAACTATCATCTAAAAAATACCTTCGAACATGGAAGTTATCAAGTAGACACAGGTAGATGAAAGAAATGAGCACATGTTAACGCAAAATGGAATCAGACATGTAACAACCTGAGATCTTAATTCAAACAAAATTTAATTAAACACTTTAGAATAAAACTGGAAAAAATATCAAGCAAAATCCAACTCAAAACCCATCATAGACAACGAGCACCAATTCAAACCATGGTACTGGAGTATCAGGAGATAAAAGAAATTTCCCGCATTCAAGTTGGCCAATAAATCCCTTATTACCTGATGCATGCTTGTTCTTAATAGAATCTTTTTTATTTATAACTTTCAATCCCTATAAAGTGTTACTTGCACTAATACCGAATAGGTTATAGGGCAATAAGTTCAATAACAATATTGCAAGAGTCATCCTTTTATCAATGTCCTTACTAGGAGTAAGTTATGGTACTCCAAACACCATGTTAGTCATGCTATATAGTTGGCACTAGAGAAACTAGTGAATGATGATAAAAACAAGTGTGATTGTGTTGAAGAATAAGGTCTTCTTATTAGCCACTCTGCTCACATATTCTTCTTCCCTTGTTGTGATTGTGTTGAAGAATAAGGTCTTCTTATTAGCCACTCTGCTCACATATTCTTCTTCCCTTGTCTAGTATTCTTATTTGTTAAGATTGGTCTTCTTATTAGCCACTCTGCTCACATATTCTTCTTCCCTTGTCTAGTATTCTTATTTGTTAAGATTATTGTCTTTAAACTCAAATGTATCTAGCATACAAGGCTCCCTTATCCTTGTAGTTCTGCAATCAAAGTGTTAGATGAGCTTGGTATCCGAACTATTCCATTCATTTTGCTGTCTTTCCTTCTTCAACCTGTTTCAAAAATTTAGAAAATAGATTTCAATTAAAGGCACCCAACGCTCAACCTGAATGCAAAATTCTTGAGCATTAACTGTACTGATGGTAATGGTCATACAAGGTTAAGCACTTCTACTATGGCTCTCTGCCATCGTGAATAAAGTCCTAACACTCCATTAGTACATCTTTGCCAATGTGTACCTGAAAAACAACCCCAAAGGCTTGACAACGAGCACAAATTCGAATCAAAAAACAACTACAATAGAGAGCTAAACAAGCTCGAATCATACGTGTAACTGGAAAAACAGCCCCAAAGCTCGACAACGAGCACCAATTCAAACAAAAAAAACCAACAATCGAGAGCTAAACAAGCTCGAATCATACGTGTAACTGGAAAAACAGC